GCTGGGGGCGGGGCGAGGGGAAGGGAATCTTCAAAGAGCCCCATCAAGTTTCCTCATTACCCCCAACCCTGCCCTGCTAGCCCAGGCTTGGGCTCCTCCCAGCTCTGCTGATACCCCTCAATCCTGCCCCACAGCCCCCTGCTATCCCAGCCCTGGGATCCCAGCTCTCCTGCAGGCCCCCTACTATTCCACCCACCTGTTAGCAGCTGCCTCTGCCCCATGCCCACGGCGAGGTAACTCAATGGCTGGGTGTGGCAGGCGCCAGGATCCGGGGCTACAGAAATGCAAGACACTTATAGGACCCAGACCCCAGCTGAGACCCGTAAACTCAAGTCACTTGTGTCTAAAACCCGAGCTTCAGCCTGGTCGTGGCAGTAAATGCCCACAGTGCTCAAGAGCTGAGCATGGGCCTTTATGGGGGTGGGGGGGGCACAGTAAGGGGGCCTGAGCAGAGGGACTCACAGCAGGATTGCCCCAGAGGGACAGGACTGGCCTGGGCAGCTTAACCCTTCCCCTGCCTCTGCGCTGAGCAGGAAACACCTCCCCCTGAGCTGCCTCAACTAACAGGAGTAAAACTGGGCCCCCACCAGTCCCAGTCACCAAGTGTGGGGACAACAGCCATGGCGCGCACTGGGGAGGAGAGACCCCAACCCAGGGGCAGACAGACCCAGCGGGGGGGACTGGCCACAGCGCCCCAGGGACAGACAGACCTAGCGGGGGGGGGGGGGGGGTTTGCCCCAGTGCATTAAAATGGACCAGTGCTCACTCTTGTCCTTACTGCCCTCAGCACTGCACCGGGAACCACTGCTGGCACTCATGGACGGCCCTTGGGTGCCCCAGGTGGTGACGGGTTCATGTCGGCAGCACGCACGCACAGCTCCAGCTGCCTGGTTCCAAAGCCTCTCAGATATGGCCCAGCCGCCCCCCTGCCTGGCAGGACGGAGGGGCAGCTAGGCCAAGTGCGAATAGCATTCCGATCCCGTGGCCAGCTCAGCTTGCCAGTCGGGCAGTGGCTCTATGCAAAGCAAAGTGCCAGAGCACCACTCCCTGGCCTGGTGGAAATACAGGATTAAAGGCGTCTTGTGCCGATTTAATACAGGCCAGGCCATTCTTTCTTTAAATCAGGGATGTCCCTCATAACATGGGACTGTTGGCGACTCTTCGCAGTGTCCAGCGCCCACCAGCCAGTGCGGAGTCAGCTAGGTCCTGAAGCTGGTCCTCCCTCCGGTGCCACGCTGCCCCGGACCCTTCCCAGCACGAGGGCAGGTGCTCCTCTCACACCACTCCTGGTCCCTGCTGCCTGAGTCTGCCAACAGGCCAGGCCCAGCCACCCAGAGCAGCACTTACCCGGCCCCCGGCCCTCCCAGCACCCGGCTCCTTCACCAACGGACTCCATCCCCCCTGCCCTCAACCCGACCCAGCCTTCTCCCAGCTCAGACCTCCCCCTGCCCCCGAAAATACCCCCACCCCCCAGCTCAGAACACACTGCTCTGGCCCTGGCATGCACCCCACACCCACTAGCCTCAGCCAACCCAGCCCGCTTCCCTGCCCCCCCAGCGCCAGGCTCAGAAACGCCAGCTCAGCACCTCCCTGCTCCTTCCCCCTCCCGCTGCTGGGTCTGGGAAGGCAGGAGCAGTGCAGCCAGGAGCACACACAAAATCCTACGCTCTGCCTCCATGGGGCTGGCCCCACCGCAACCCCCCTCCCGCCACTGCCTGCTGGGCCAAAGTCCCCTAGCGGTAGCTAGGGTTGCCAATGTTGGTTGGACCTAGTCCTGGAGATGTAACCACATGACAATCTTTACTTCCTGGCGGGTCCAGGCCGATCCTGGAGGGTTGGCAACCCAAGTGGCAGCCAGGTACTGTAGCTTCCAGACAGGGGAGCCCCCTGTGGTGGCAGGCGGTACTGCAGCAGGTGCAGCATCAGTCCCACTTCCGAGCTGCCTGCCAGCTGGTGGGGCTTGGCCCCTTCCAGCCAGACCGCTGGCAGAGAACACGAGAGGAGTCGGTGTGTGTGTGGGGGGGGGGGCGGGCGGGTATTGTTAGTGCTGCGGATGGCCCACTCTGGTCCAGCCTGGCAGTGCCTGTGCCCGTGTGGGGCCCCTGGGATGGCACAGGTCTCCCAGACTCTCCCCCAGTGCAGCAGTGCCCTGGACCCCCTGCCTGGCAGGATGAATCCGCACATCAGCCTCTGCCCCTCGCCTGGGGTTAGTCTTTCTTCCACACACACATTACGGAGACAGGGAGAGCCCTGCCCAGCCCCCGCCTGCAGCAGGGCCTTCATCCCGGTGGGCACGGAGTGAGGAGGGCCGGGTTGCCCTTGCCCTGAGCCTGAGGGAAGAGCAGGGGTGGGGGCAGAGGCGAGCAGCTTTATTGCCCTTGTTTTCCCTTTGATGCCATGGGCCAGGCTCTTCCACCTGGGCTGGAGGCCCTCCGCCTTCCCCAGGGTGCAGTCTCAGCCAAGCCTCCAGTGAGGAACACCCAGCCACAAAGACCCACCCCCATGCCAGGCCTACAACTCAGCCCCCTATGGCCTGCCAACAGCAAGGTGGTAGCAACATTACTCTGTCTAGGAGAGAGCCAGCATCCTGCACCCCCAGCAGGCCAGGAGCATCTCCCACCCACCTCCACCTCCCAGGACTTCACCTATCCCCTTGCCACTCTGTCCAGAGAGACAGCAGTCAGCTGGGGCGTAGCTTGGCATACGGGTGGAAAAGGAAGGCTGGTCAGTCTGGGGGCAGGTGGCCAGCAGCACAGGAAGGCCAGTCCTTGGAGGGAGGGACAGGGCAAGGGCCAGCCCAGGGTGGTGGGGCGTGCCAGTCCAGGAGGGGAAGGAAGGAAGGATGTGGAAGGAGTGCCACTCCAGGACAGGGATGTGGGCTCATCCACTGACAGTCCCGCTGTCCTTTGCAAGGCCCTGAGCTCAGGTCCCACTCCCCATGGGCCTGCCCAGAAGGGGGGCAGCCAGATGGTGACAGGCTGTGATGCACGAGCCCTCGGTGCCAGCCAGTGCCATATCTGAATGGGAGAGAAGTGGGGAGAGTGTCAGGGGGGGCGCTGCCCTCCCACACACCCAGGAGATCCTGAGCGAGCTGTGGGGGCCCTCCGGAATGCCTCCCAGCATGAGGCAGACACATAAGGCTGGACCAGGCCCATCTCCCAGCACAGGACAGGGCCCAGGGGAGCATTTACTAGGGACGTAGTCCAGTCTCGCAGGGGAGCAGCGTGCAGAAGGTAAGATGGTCTCTCCCAGCTCACAGGGAGGGAGAGTGTGGTCTGTATATGGACGGGAAAGGCAAACACAGGAATTGCCAGGCTGCAGCAGAGCCAAGGTCCAGCGTCCTGTCTACATCAGCTGCTTCAGAGATAGGTGGAAGACCGCTGCAGTAGCAGATATGGGATAACCTGCCCCACACACAGCAACTGAATTAATCCCCGATGCCCAGCTATTACCACCCATCCAGCCCTCTAATACTCTCTGTTAGCATCATTTAGGATAACTAGATTCTTGGGGTCCTTGGGAGCATCTTTGAATCTTGCTAAATGCTGAGTCTCACCAACTTCCTGGGGCAGGGCATTCCACAGTCTAATCTAGTCACTTTATAGACTTTCATCAGGGCCCCTTTTCTCTCTTTTCAAAGGTAACAATCCCCATTTTCTCATTCTCCTCCCCCACGCCTCTCTCTCTCCTTTCTGGGATGGGGTGACCAGCACTGCAGCTAGGAGCCAGATGAAGCCAGACCTCTATAATCTATAGAACACAATATTCTCCAGGTTATTCACTAGCCCGTTCCTTATGCAGCCTCACACCTGGTTTGCTTTTTTCACTAAGGCTACACATCGAGCAGCGCTCTCCCTTGAGCGGTCCACAGCGATGCTCGGGACCTTTACCTGAGTTGATGCAGTTAAGTGAGAACCCGATGGGGTGGCTGGGTAGTTCAGTTTCCCGCCTCCAGCACGGTACTTCGTATTGATCATTCATTCCCTCAGGTGGCCCTTTCATCAGGCTGGGGAGGACTCTCTGAAGTTCTGCACAGCCCCCTCTGGACGGGACTAACCTAACTCAAAGTCTGGCCACTGCAAGTTTTGCCACCTCCCAACCCACCCCTCTCCTGACGGTTAATGAATAGATCAACCAACACTGCCCTGGTACAGCACCCCACTGTGCACCTCGACCTAGATTCTCACACATATTTAGGCTCCTAACTTCCACTGGTTTCAAGGGAAGCCTAAATGCCTTTGAGGATCTGGGCCCTCCTACCATGATGAAAATTCCGTTTATTCCTGTTCTTTGAACTCTGTCGCTCTGCCTGTTTTTGATCCATGACAGCACCTGGTCACGCACCTTATGAGGCTTCGCTTTTATCATAGCCTCATGGGAGAGGCCTCATCAAAGGCCTTTTGGAAATCTAAATATATCACGTTAGCCAGTTCGCCTTTAGGCACTGTTTTACCGACAGACACAATGAATTCTAATGGATTAGTGAGCCACCCTTTTCTTCCGCAGGATCGGTGCTGGCTACACCCTCTCACATCATGATCTTCCAGGTGATTTATTATTCTACCTTTAAATTATTGTTGCAACCATGTTCCCAGGGGCCGTAATTCTGCAGACTACCCCTAGAGCCTTTTCTAAATAGAGAAACACTATATGCTGCCCTCCAGCCCTCTGTAACCTCAGCTGGTTTTTAAGGAGCGGGCAGGTTTTAGCTAGCCGCTCCTTATCTGAGCTCCTTCAGCAATGGTGGATATAGGCACCAGTGTGTTTACAGGATGCGAAGGGGCTTGGAAAGGGACGGTGAGCTGGAGTAGCGGCTGGGGCTCGTGGCTGGGTGGTTTGCAAGTTAACTACAGAGGTCCCAGTGGAAGTGCGGAGAAGGTGTAGAGGATAGGTATCTCAGGGACAGAGGCACAAGATGGATGGTGGAGGGCAGAGTTAAGGGTGTTTGGGGCAAGTATGTCTACAGTGCATGAAGGTGTCTATTAAAAAGAACCAGCTCCTCAAACCATCACACTGACTTTTTATTGGGGAATTTCCTTTGTTTCCCCCCATATTTTTGCCACCAAGAGATTTTTTACATTACGTGTGAAACCCTGGTAAGGTGTTTGTTTCCTACTGGACAAACTGACGAGAGCCCAGGCTGGGAGGGTCGAATGCTCTTCTGCGGGTTCCCTGGTACCTTGCCGTGGCTCTGCAGACCTCTGAGGGTCAAACCGCTCTCTGTAAAATGTCTCCCTCATAAAACATCCTGTGCAGATTCCCCGGCAGTAAAACAGCTCAGAGCACCCCCCAGCGCCAAGCAGCAGGACTGCACTGTCCCTCCAGCAGGAGCTGCTGGCCTCACCCTGGCTCTTCCAGGCGGGTTGGTGCACTTGACCCAGGACGGTTTGGCCACCGGGGCAGAGGAGGCACCCCGAGCCCAGGGGCTCTGACGCTCTCACCTTGGTGGCTTTGAACCATGCAATGCCTCTGGGAGTGTGGCAGAGGGGCGGGAGGTCACGAGCGCCGCTCCTCCTGGGACGGTCCTGGCACGTAGCCCCGGGGCGGCTCCACCAGGTAAGAGTATGAGAGCCCGACCATGACCTACAGGAGCAGAAGAGCCATCAGCATGCGGCCCGTGGGGCTAGAGCCCTGGCTCCCCCAGAGGCAGGGTGAGGAGGGGCAGGCGGCCGTCCCCGGGGTGCTCACCATCAGCAGGCTCAGCAGGCCCATCATCACCCCCAGCATGATGTAGAGGTTTTCGGTCAGGCCTCCAGCCCACAGGGGCCCCAGAATGGTGGCGACTCCCCCCACTGACCGCCGCAGGCCCTGGCTGAACCCTACAGCACGGGAAGAACAGAAAGGGTTAACGCTGCCTGCTGTCTCCAGCTCCTGACACCAGGGGGCGCTAAGCCACCGCAGGTACTGGCCTGCCTGGGGTGTGACCAGAGGCAGGCAGCCTCCCGGCAGGTGGGGACCTTGCCTTTCTCTTGGCGGGGAAGCCTGAGCGCTAACATGGTGCTACAGAAACAGACAATGGCCATCTGGGAGCCAGTGAGACTGCCTGGGTGCTGGGCCGTATCCCCCCACAACCAAAGGAGCACGGGACTGGTGCACGACTGCAGAGAAAGACAGAATGGGAGATGGGAGGTAGGCGAGAGAGAGAGAAGCAGCCCCCCGCCCCCTAAAAGAAAGTCCCATGGGATGTGGGGCCCACACACTTTTCTGCGCTGGCTCGACAAACAGAGCCATGGTCTCTGCAGTGCAGCGTCCTTGCCTCCCCATCCTGCTGGATCAGTATGAAAATACTCCATCAAAGATCAGCATTCTTGGACGGCCCTGGGAGTCGGAGGCCTCGGTTCAGGGTCCAATCCAGGGTGGGGAGAGGCCAGAGAGAAACGGTTGAGAGAACATGACCGATGAGGGAAGGTTATAGAACTGGGCACGTTTACTCTAGAGAAAAGCAGGAACTTGATAACAGACTTCAAATATGTTCAGGGCTGGTACAAGGAGGACAAAGACCAACTGTTCCCCATGTCCACTGGAGGTCAGACAAGTAGTAATGCGGGTGATCGGCAGCAAGGGAGATTTAGGTTAGATATCAGGAAAGGGATCATGTCGCTGTTTCTGACTCAAAGGGTAGTTAAGCTGTGGCCCAGGCTAACAAAAGAGGTTGTGGGGTCCCCATCATGTTTTAACCGATGGTCTAGGTATATTTGGCCCTGCCTCAGCACTGGAGGCTTGAACTCGATGACCTCTCGAGGTCCTTTCCAGCTGGACATTTCTGCAAGGCCAGGAAGGTCGGTGGCCCCTGGTCACAGCAATTGGCAGACCCATGCTGGGTTCCCTGGCTGCTCTTTCTCCATGCTAGGCTTTGCCTACCCACCTGTGCCATGCCAGATCTTCAACATACCCCTAGAAATTCATTCAGCATTTAGGTGGCAGACAGCAGCGGGGCCTCACAAAGGATCCCACCAAGCTTTGATCTCAAGGAGTGATTCAGGGAGGCCTGCCGAGGAGAAGGGTGTCCCCATTCATCGGGTGCAAGAGTGGCTCAGATCACCCTGGCAAGCCAGTCACTGAGCTGAGAGGAACCAAGCCAGCTCTGCCAACACGGAGCGGATACAGGACTCAGCGGCTGGAAGGGGCCAGGCTAAAGTGGGATAGAAATTGGACCCGGGGAATCAGCGTTTGATCAGAAACCCAACACAGCCATGTGAAATGGAAACCCGCCTTGGAAAGCGGGCCCCGTGCCACGGGTTAACAGCCTCCTCCTGGGACAGAGATACCTGCTCTGACACCAAGATCCTGACAGACGGGCCAGACTCAGCCCGGGGGAACTCATCTCAGCCAGGGCCAGCTTGTGCGGGTGAAGCGAATGGTTCCATGCTCTTAACAGCACCATCCAAGATCCCAGCTGTCCCAAACTGCTGCCCTGGTGTCCCTACAAGGCACAAGGTGGGAGGGGTGGGAGAGGCCGACCACACAGAGGTCCCTTGGGTGTTTTATGACACCCATCTCAAGGGTGCCCTTTATTGTGGTATCTGGGCTTGGAGTGAGAAGGGGCAGGCAGGCACCTGCAATTTGGGCATGGCTCAGCTAGTCCCAGAGCAGACTGCGCTCTGAAGGGGAGGGGAGGAAGTGGGCACCATGCCCCAGCCCGGGCACCGACCCTGCCCCGAGGCTCACCTTGTGTTCTCTCTGCTGTGACCTTGGAGAAGAGCGAGACCTGGGAGACAGCCACGAAGGGCAGCCCCAGCACCTGCAGGAACACGCCGACCACCAGCTCAGACAGCAGGATGGGAAAGCTTCCTGTGGCAGCAATGCAGACATGGCAGGGGGGTGGATGGGCCCGGTGTGCAAAGAGCCCCAGAGACTGGCAGACTCGAATCAGGACCTATGCTTGTTCAATGGGCAAGCCCCTGGCATGCTCCGCCCGCTCCCAGTATGCTCCATGCTCGGTTGCTAGCTTTCCTAATCAGCAGAGGACCAGACTTTCATGACGCTGGGCGCCCAGGAGAGCACCCCCTGCTCCTTTCCCTGGGCACCGAGCAGACAGAGGGGCTGGGGAACCGTAGCGCCAGCAAGGCGCTGGGCCCGTCACAGCGCCCATGCCACCTACAGCAGCTGAGCATCGCCACCGCTCATTGGGCAAGGGGTCTCCTCTCCACCACACAGCCCCTGCTGGGCCACCTCAGGGCACTGCTGGGCCAGCCTGAGCCAGGCAAGGTGCCCCGCAGCCCAGGGGAGCACTCCAGAGCCATGCCAGGCTCCTGTCCCCCATCCATCCCTAGCCAGCGAACCCAACCCCCTGTCAAGCGATTCCCCTCAGGTGGGAGTGAGGAGAAGGGCCCAGGAAGAGAGGAACCAGAGATCCTGGCAGGATGGTTACCTTGGGGCCGTGCCAGGAAGAGCAGGCACCAGACACAAGCCACGTTGCAGATGACCAGCCCGAGCACCAGGACCACGCGGTCGGGGAGGCGGCTGCTGAGGCAACGAACCAGGAAGAAGCCGCAGATCACCTTGGGGGAAGGGGGGAAGCTGAGTTATTAGACAATCCCTGGACCTCAGGCTGGGTGCAAAGACCGTCAGAAATGGGGCCCTTCTGTGGTTGGGGGAGCCAGAGTCAGGGGGTGACTCAGAGTGGGGGACTGAAGGGAAGGAGGGCAGAGCAAGCCCCGCATAGGGCCTCTTGCGGGATAGCAGCAACCGAGAGCCATCCAGCACCAGGCCCCCAGCGCTGGGCACACGAGCACATGCCCTGTGTTCACTTATCAGAGGAGCCACGGCTCGCCAGGGCTCTGCAGACTGCCCTCCCCCTCACGGCCTCAGCACCACCGCTCGCCCATCCCCTGGCTAGCAGGCAGGCCATGCTCGGGCACAGGTGCCAGCCAGCACAGTCAGGCTCCAGAAAATGGCCTGCACCATGCAGACCGGGGCAGGTTGGTAAGGCCAGGCCACAGGCTCTCTGCCAGCAGGGCACAAGGTCTCTCCAGCCTGCAGCCCACCCTGCCCTAGCTGCAGAGACCGCTGGCAAGAATGCCCCACTCCGCACACTGCCGGAGCAAGGGCAGAGGAGACGTGCCACACGAGTTCTGTCTGGGCGCGTCTACACTGGCATTCTTTGGGCACCCCGCCCCTGCAGGCCAGCACCATGGGAACAGTGAGCGTGCCAGTGTAGACAGGGCACAGGCATTTCAGCCCCATCCATGCGAGTGGAGGAGCATGAGACTAGCTGCACCAATGCTCCCAGAGGGGCTGCAACAGGGCCGCAGGAGAGGCCTGGCTGGATGGGACCCCAGCATGACTAGCCTCTCTCGCTGCCTGGGCTGGACAGAGGAGGTCGGGGCTGGAGGGATGACTCAGAGGAGGGCTTGGCTTAGTGACGAGGGCAGTGGGGGCACCAAATGTGGCTCTAGGCCTAGACCTCCCTCCACCCCATCCTCAGTCTGGCTGTACATACATCTGAAGCATGGGGTGGAGAACAAAAAGCAATTAGCTGAAGGATCCCAAAGAGGGGGAGGGGACGAGAGGGGGGGCGGGCAGGTCACCAGGAAGGCCGGGGCGTGAGGTGAGAAAGAGGGTCAGACATTCATAGGTTGCGAGCGCTCTCGGCAGGGTCCGGATCATGCGTATACACATGCACCGTGGGATGGGAGCCAGTCACCTGCCCCACGCCATGTCTGCCAGGACACCTGCCATTACAGACCCCAGGGCTGGGGTCTCACCTACCTCGATGCCGCACAGGAAGTACATGATGCTGTTCTCAAGCTCCCCGAAGCTCAGGTAGCGCTGGGTGATGGGAGTCACCATGGTCTAGAGACATACAGACAGGCAGAAAAGCAGTCACATGTCTGCCCACCCTACACTCACGGCTGTGAGGAGCCCCCTTTGCGTGGGATGGGGAGGTACAGACCCTCGCCCACGAGGTGCCCCCTCCCCTGCTCTGCCCAGAGGGTATCCCTGGTGGGAGGGCTCTCCTGACCAGCACGTTGGGTCTCTGCTCCCGCTTGTCTTCCCTGAGATGGAGGTAACCCTGGGTCATGCCCAACGTTCACCCAATTCTGGGCTTCCCCTTGCCCTTCTCCACAAGGAGACCTTGGCCCAGGGAGAGATGCCCGCCCTCTGGGCACCAGGTGCAGGTGAAAGGTGAACCCCACCAGGGGTCTGGGAGAGGCCAGAGCACCACATGGAGGGGAGAGGAGATCCCCTGTTTCCCCCACCCCGAAACACATATCCAGAACCTGGGAAGGGCTGGACAGGAGACGCTCCCTGGACCCAGTCTGGTTGTGAGAGGAGCTGGATCCCCCACCACCGACATGGAGAAGAAACCCGCCTCCCCCCACCCTCAGTGGGAGTGGAACAGAGCGACCTGCCCATCAAGCCCCCAGCCACTCACCTCCAGGGCCGTTTGGTTGAACAGGGTGATGAACTGGGCAGTGAGCAGAACCACCACTTCCTCCCGCAGGTACTCTGCAACGACACCATGCGGACGTCACGGGGCTGTGGTGCTGGCGAGGAGAGGGGCCAGCCCTCCCTGTCTCCCACTGGGGGCGGAGGCGGGAGAGACATTGCCCAATGGAACAGGTCAGTGGGCTAATCAGGTGACAGGGAAGGCTGGGGGGTGGCACAAGCAAAGTTCTGGGATGAGGGGGATGCTGGGGAACCTCAGTAGCACCAGGGTTTGGATGTTCAAACTAGGCCCCTGCACACTCCTATGCCAGCCAGAGCGCAGGCCCCCTCAACATGGCTCAGGGCAGGAAGCACGATGCTACTGTAACCAGACACGCTGGGCAAGGGAGAGTCTGATCCTCTTCTGGCCCTGAACTCCATCTGCAGCAGACCCACACTCTCCTGCATGCCAGTTTCTCCACTCATTGGTTCCCAATTTACATGGGTGTGAGAAAGAGGGGGCGCTGCCCTCCTCCACAGTCCACCGGCCCCCAGAGCCCAGCCTTCCTGGACCCCCAGCTGGAGAGTCCCACCAACTCCCTCTCATGCAAACCCTTCCATAGCTTCGTCCTGCCGGCTCACACCACGGCTTGATGGCTGACCTTGGGCTAGTTCCTTCCCCTCTCTGGGACTCAGTTTCCCCTATTGCAATCCAGGGATAACAGCCCCGGGGGAGGAGCAAAGGCACAGTGCCTAGGGAAGGGAAGGGATCATCAGGGTCTCCTACAGCTGGGCCTGCACTCCCCGCTCTGTGCCCAGGTCTGCTCCCTGCCCATCAGTGTGCCCGCGGGACACTGGGTCCAGGCTGTCCAGTCTGGGACACTTGGGTGCTGACCCATCTGCTTGCTCTGGGGTTCTAGGGCAAGCAGGAAGGCCCCATGGTGCCCACAGGCCCTCTCGCCAATCAGCACCCAAACAGCTCGCTTTCAGTTCCCACATAGCTGTCCAGAGCAGCAGGAGACCCACCAGCAACAGCCCCACAGTGTCACGATCCTTGGGGGCTTATGCAGCTGCCTGGCTGGTGCAACGGGGCACAGAGAGTTCGTCAGCACCACTCAGAGCAGCCGCTGTGCGGGGTCTGTGGAACACGTGGCTCACCTTTCCCCTACAAGCTCTGACACCCTGATTGCGGAGCACACCGCTGGCCTTGTGGCAAAGGCGCTGGACTGGGATGTCAGCGGTGTGGGTTCAACTCCAGCTCTGCCAGACTTGCGGCAGGGGTAGGATCCTGGTTTGACTGAAGCCCGTGACAAATCCCTGCCACGTACTGCCCAGCACAGTACTGATCAAAATGGGGGCATGCCAGGCTGGGGGCACTCACCTCGCATGGCGCTGAAGTTCTGAAACGGGCTCTTCTCCTTTACTCTGCCCTCCTCCTCGGCCAGGTGCCCGTTGGGCACGTAGCGGGACTCGTCTCCCTCGGGGGGCGTCCTCTGGCCAGTGCCGCCATAGCCCCGGTGCTCAGCGGGCTCGTCCTGGCCAGCGCCGTGCTGCACCAAGGGCTCCCGCTCCTCCTCCTGCTGCGCTGCCAGCGGCAGGTGGGGCACGGGCTGCAGGTCGTAGTACATCACCGCAACGACAAACTGGAGCAGGATCCAGAGCAGGCACATGAAGAGCTGCACAGGGAGACAGACACCTGAGTGCCCGGAGCCACAGCTCCCCCACCCAGGGAACTTGGGGCCGACTCACCCGGCAAGCTCTCCCCGGCTGCGAGCGCCGCCCTGGGAATACTCACCCCCGGGGAGGTGAATTTGTTGACCTCAAAGGGCCCCAGCCGGAAGTTACAGAGCCGCAGGAAGAGGTTACAGGCGGGTCCTGAGCACAAAGAGATGGCGGGGTCACACTCGGGCACCGGGAGGAAAACACAGAGAGTGAGGAGGGTGGGACTGGCATGCCCCTCACTGCCACCAGCCACCTCCCTCTGCAGCAAGAGGGGCAAAGAATGGGCACCGTGAAGGAGATGGTGGGTCTCTCCCACCCTCGCCAGGCTCTGATAGCCACCCCCACTGCCTCTGGCAACAGCCTCTCTGGAGATCCTTTGTCACATACCCCCCACCCCTGACAGGCAATGCCACCGTGGTCTGGCACCGCACTGCCATGCCCTGGCCCCATACCCTTCCCAACCTGAGAAACACCAGCCACTACACGGCATCCCCCGACAGTTACCACAGCTTGCTTTCAGGGGCACAGGGCAGTCAGAGCTGAGCCAGCTCTCTTCAGTGGCCCCTCTCCACAGCAAAGAGAGCGACACTGAGGCAAGAGCCTGGTGCATGGGGCAGGCGCCTCCTGAACATGGACTGTGTGTGGACCACAGAGCCCCAGTTCACGGCTCAGGCCCACCACTCCCCCCATGCTGCGGGCCTGCTGCGGAGAGGGCATGGGGGGGGGTAGTCCCGGGGTACCTTACCAATCAGCAGCCCAACCTGCCGGCATGCCATCACTGCAGCAAACACCTTGGCGCGCTCCTGTGAGGTGGTGGAGCGGGTGAGATAGCCAAAGATGGAGGCACCCGCTCCCGTCCCAACACCTGCCAGAAACAAGGACAGTCAGGGGCAAGAGACGGGGCATGCTCTGAAAGCCCCCGGCACAAGCCCCTGGATCTGGAGACCCTCAGCCTAGATCCACGTGGCCTACAGCATCCCCACCAGCAGCTCTTACCTGCCACCAGCCGGCTGCCCAGGAGGAGCCACTTGGAGATGCCCATAAAGTACATGAAATTCCCTGCAATTGGGGGGACAAAAAGGAACAGGTAACGCAGGGAGGAACATGCAAAGTAACAGCCAGCCAGGAAAGGGGTGCGGGTGCATCCCTGAAGCCAGCTGGACTAGCCAAGAGGCAAGCCTCATGGAGGAAGGAGACGGGCAGGCACTGCTGTCCCCTGTTGGCTATAATCAACCCCACGTACACCTGTGAGGGTCTCATCCCATGGGGCTGGAGCAGGGATCGAGTCCTTCAGAACTCCTGGCTTCTGCACCCTAGTGTTGCAGGCAGGAGGGTTATCTGCGATCCTGCTCTGAAAAGAGTCCCTGTGTTACAATGGCATCACAGGCCCCATGCTCCTTGTCCTGCAACACCAAGCCCCCATGCAGTAGAGCACGTGGGCTGACGTAAACGGGTACTTAGCTGGTGACCAGCGCGGCACGCTCAGAGCTGAGCTCTGTCCAGCTGATGGGTCAGCACCAGCACCAGAGGTTCTGCAGGCTGAATTCTGCCCCACAGGGATCCCCCAGCTGCCCCTCGTAACTGAGGGCAAGATTGGGTCCTGCAACCGGACCTTGGTTAACAATGAATTCATCTGATGCCCGAGCCAGACTAGAACCCAGCTCCCTGCTGCAGCTGGGCTGGCTCTGCAGGTTTCCTAGGAGTAGAAGCAGGTGCTCGGGATCTCTGTAAATCAGGGCCTCAGGTACCTGCATTTAGAGTTTGGTGTTGCATGTTTACACCCTTGTGATAAGTGGGACTAATCCTGCCCTCCCACCCCACCCTCCCTGGGGGCCAGGACCCAGGCTCACTCTGGACTGCTCCCACCAGCGAAGCAGCCCAGCCGGCCTTCACTTGCTCACTCACCCATTATCTCAAACACGTTGGCAAAGAGGATGATGGCTTTGGTGCGCTGGCTCCGATCAGACCAGTGCCCGAAGAGGGGCCCCGCAAGCAGGCCGGTGAGGCTGAAGGCAGAGATGCCCAGGCCCAGGAAGTACGGCTCAGCATGGAGCGTCTGCAAGTAGGCCCAGATCGTGGGCAGAATCACCGCTAATGGGGAGCAGAGACAGACAGTCAGGAGCCCCACGCCACAGCGCTAGAATAGGTCCTGCCAGGCCACCTCAAATGGGTGCTCGGCCTTCCCCTGAATCCATGTTCCTGCCTCCCTGGGGCAAACGTACAGCCCACCTTGTGAGACAGCCTTGGTGCAGCATGAGACCATCCCTGGCTGGCCTTGGACAAAGAGGGCAGAGGTCTCTGGGTCCCCTAGGCCTGCCAGCTGGGCCTCTGACCCCCGCCCATGGCAACTGCCGGCTATCCAGCCGGATCACCAGTACCGACGCATTGCTCAGGAAGGGGGAGATGCCAACCACCCAAGGACTCAAACCGTCCCCTTTGGGCCCTGGGAGCTCCCCAGTGGCTGCCGGGCATTTCACCCTCCCTTGGGATGGAAGGTGCTGGCGGCTGCAGCAGCTCCTCAGACTCACGTGGACCCCAGCAGCACCCCATGGCCTCGGCCCCCTGCCCTCCTTGCTAAGAGGGCACAACTCAGCCTGTTCCTGTCTCAGCCTGCCAGAGCCTCCTTCCCTCGGTCAGGGGCCCTCACCCGCTACCCTAGAGCTCCTGTGAGGCCTTACTGCGAGGTGTTTATGCAGCAGCCGAGCCCCTCAGCAGGGCGAGTGGGCTGTGCACCTCACCCAGTCACTGCCATCTTACATCGCACTTAACGGCCGTTGCAGGAGGGAGACAGAGAAACTCTATGAAGCTCAACAGGGGCCAGAACCGAAGTCCTCACATGCCTCCCGCCATCACCTTCTTTAAGCAGAGTTTAGATGCTGTATCTGTGGCAAGAAGCCTGGGACCCTTTCCCATAGCTACCTGCCTGCCACAGCTTCTACCACGTCGGTCGTCTCTGCCCGTTGGCCTCTGTAGGCGGCTATAACGCACCACAGTGTCTGAGTGCTGCCAGAATGAGAAACACCAGGCCACCAGAGCCAGGCTGCCCAATGCCCTCCATACCCCAGGACCGGCTCTAGGCATCAGCAAAGCAAGCTAGGGCAGTTGCACTCTTGGAACTTGGGGTGGCAAAAAACCTAGAACCGGCTGTCATGGAGTCCCTGGGCGATGCTCTGGAACTGCTCCCCAAGAAGCCAGTCAGGACTCTGGGGCAGTCGCCTTTCTGTGAGCAGCCTGTCTGCATGACACAAAGCTCACACGGCTTCCACCTTCCTGGGTCTGACCTCGGAGCATTCAGCATCCTCTGCCCCTCTGTGCGCTTCCCATAGCGAGTCCGCTCAGGCAGGGTCCTGAGGAAGCCAGAGGGTCCTGCACCCCAACTCCGCAGTCAGACGTGACTCTCAGCCAGCAAAACAGAGGTTTATTAAATGGCAGGAACATGGTCTAACACAGAGCTTGTAGGTGCAGAGAACGGGACCCCTCAGCGGGCTCCATTTTGGGGGGCAGTGAGCCAGACAACCATGTCTGCCCTTCACTCCATGTCCCCAGCCAGCCCCAAACTGAAACTCCCTCCAGCCCCTCCTCCCCTGGGCTTTGTTCCTTTCCTGGGCCAGGAGGTCACCGGATTCCTTTGTTCTCCAACCCTTTAGCTCTCACCTTGCAGGGGGGGAAGGGCCCCGGCCATCAGTTGCCAGGAAACAGGGTGTCGGCCATTCTGTGTCCAGACCCCTGCACACACCTGCCCTCTAGGGCTCTGCAATGATCATACACCCTTAACCCACCGCCTAGATACTTAAGAACTGCCTAGGGGAAACTGAGGCACCCCCACACTATTCAGAGGAAACATTAAGAACAGTCCCGCTTCGTCACACCGGCCCCGCCCAGGACATGGCCAGGAAGCAGGTCTCACTGTTAGCCCTCATTGGGCAGTCACAGTAGGATGGCCAATGAGAAGACATCCCTTGCTTCGCTTATGGGCACTGCCCACTGCCCTGCAGCCTCCACCAGAGAGCCACAGCACTGCTCCCCCTGCCCCTCGCCAGCATCTCCCCGCTCTCTCCTTCCCTCCCTAGTTAATGATTTCCACCGCCTGCCCCAGGCATGGAGAACCAGCCTCAAGGTTCTTCTACTACCCTTTGAGACCTCAGGGACACCTTCCCTTCGGGAGCCGATGCTTGTAGCATCCCACATACTGAGAGCACCCGCCCTGCTGCCGTCCTTTGGTGGGATTCAATCTCCCACCCTCGCCAGCCAGGGAGTCTTGCTCAGTCATTGCTCCAGGTCTGGACTCCCCCGTGAGAAGGGCAAGGAGGAGGAGAACAGGAAGGCCCCAGAGCAGAGAGTTTTGCCAGGGAAAAGGAAATAAGAGACCTTGGGTTATGAAGGAAGAGAAGCAGGATTGGGACACGCTAGCCAGGAGAGGGAGGAGTCAGATATGAACACCGCCCACCCCCGTTTATACTATGTCTACACTAGAGCTGCACATTCAGCAGGAGGAGACGCATCCACGCTACCTCTGATGGTGCAGCACCAGTGCAGACAAACCCTGAGCGACAGGGACAAGGGCGGTGCGGCGAACTGCGCCAGAATGGGGGACGGGACAGCAAGGAGCTCCGCTTGGGGTTAGAGTGGCAATGAACCAGCAGGATACGCTGGAGCGAGGGGCTGAGAGGTGAGGTTTATGGAGGGGACAGGGAGCGCCACGAGTCATCTGCCTAGATCAGAGGTGGGCAAACCGTGGCCCACGGGACCCTTCCGCCCGGCCCCTGAGCTCCCGGCCCGGGAGCCTAGTCCCCGGCCCCTCCCCTGCTGCCTCAGCACACCATGCCACCGGCGCAACGCTCGGGGCAGCCGGGCAGTGCAGTTGCAGAGCCACGGCCTGACCCGGTGCTCTAGGCGGTGCGGTAAGGGGGCAAGGGGCAGGGAGGGTTGGATAGAGGGCAGGGGAGTTCGGGGGTGTGGTCAGGGGTGTGGATAGGGGTCGGAGTGGTCAGAGGGCAGGGAACAGAGGGGTTGGATGGATCAGGGGTCCCGGGGGAGGGGGGGAGAGACAGTCAGGAATGGGGGGGGGTTGGATGGGGCAGCAGGGGGCAGTCAGGGGTAGGGGGTCCAGGAGTGGTCAGGGGACAGGGAGCAGGGAATGGTGGATGGGGTAGGAGTCCCGGGGGAGCCGTCAGGGGACAAGAAGCAGGGGGGTCAGATAGAAGATGGGGCCGGGCCACCCCTGGCTGTTTGGGGAGACACAGCCTTCCCTAACCGGCCCTCCATACAATTTTGGAAACCCGATGTGGCCCTCAGGCCAAAAAGTTTGCCTGCCCCTGGCCTAGGTGGTCAGGGCGAGCCTGCGCAGAGCCCCAGAGAGGCTGTGAAGGGAGAAGTGGAGCAGGCCCAGGACAAGGCCTGCGTGACCCCAGTGTTAGCAGCAGCAGAGGCCAAGGAGGTCCAAGTAGAGGCCCCGAGGTCTGGTGAGGTCATTGGCAGCCATGGGTGAGATGGTTTCAGGAGGGCAGCAGGCAGGAGGTGGGTTGAATCCAGTGCGGAGCTCAGAGCAGTCGAGGAGATGGCTGTAACCGGCACAGATGAAGGGGAGTAGTGAGCAGCTGGAGAGGAAAGCTAGGTTCAGGGAGAGCTTTGAGAATGGGGAATTGTTTAACTCGTGTATTTTCCCCATCTGTAACTGGGTTGCATATCATCTCTATGTACCTGGGGCCTTTTCCTTCTTGCTAAAGTTCCAGGCACTAACCAGCTCTTGAGCACATGGTGTGTTCAGTGCCATCATCTCAGGTCACGTTCCCACGTGGATGGTGAACCCCAGCCAGCACCATCACTCGGTTATCGCCAGAACTGGAGGCCTGTTGGCTCGGCCAAGGCGAACAGCAAATCAGCTCCTTGCAGGTTCAGTTCTCCCTTCCTCTTCCCATACACTGTGCTCTATGGCGAGCCAGAAGCACAATGGCCGTCCCAACAGTAGGGCAGCACCTTGCCCATGGAGGTGGCCTCCAGCTGGGAAACCCATACTTGGTTATTTGTGGAATAAGGGAAGAGACCAGGGATCTGGATGAATCTGCAGGTGCTAGAGGACTGGGGTCTCTCAAAGGCAGAAGAGCTGTACTCAGCAATAAGTGTCAAATTCCCCATGCTGGGGCATGGATGGAACGTCACTAACAAGGGGGCTGGAAACAAAGCGGCTGCTGTGGGGACAGGCCCCTCTTCCCTCCCCCGGTCGGCAGTGTTCACCTGGAGTGCCAGTTCTGTGCACAGGGATGAGACTTGTATCACCAGGGCGAGGTCTCGTGCCCCTCTGTGGACGGGCGACAGAGAGCCAGGCGGATAAGGGTGTTAAGGTAGCTCTGGATGGGATGGCAAGGAGAGACTGAGGGCATGACCTGCAAATACCTTGCCTCTAGAGAGCCACAAATCAGGAAGCGGGTGGTCGGGGACGACAAGAGCCCCAGTTCCTGCTGGAAGCTGACAAAAGAGGAGACTAAATACTTACGAAGAACAAGTGGGGGGGGGGGGAGGGGGAAGAGACCTGTGGATTCGAACAGGAGCGGGGGATGGACAGGAAGGACCCCTCAGGCAGGACAGTTTCAGCTCGTCCCTTTCATGAGGTCCCACACGGACTGCAGAACTCTGTGTGTCCCAGTGACATTTGTGGATCCAGAGCTCAGCTGGGGCCAGGATGACCTGGGGCACCTGCAGCCATACCCTGAAAAGAAGCAGCGTGGCCCAGGGCACACAGGGAGCCTGAGACCTAGGTTCTAGCCTTGGCTCTGCCACTGACCTTGGACAAATGCTCCTTTCCCCAGCCCCCCTCTCCTTGCCCCCTCTGCCTGTCTTGGCTACATAGACTGCGAGCTCTTCAGAGCTGGGGCTGTCTCCTTGATCCTGGCTGTAGGTCTCAGCACCCAACCACGGGAAGGCCTGGTGATTGCTCATCCTGCTAAGCTGAGGGGCACAAGGAAAGGGGGAAGCTCCCTGTGCTGCGTCAGGGAATGCAGAGTGCTGGCTGCCAGTGTCAGTCGAGACCCCTCCATGGGACAGGTCAGATGCTGTGTGCCCAAGAACATAAGAACGGCCATACTGGGTCAGACCAAAGGTCCATCCAGCCCGGTATCCTGTCTGCCAACAGTGGCCAATGCCAGGTGCCCCAGAGGGAGTGAACCTAACAGGTAATGATCAAGTGATCTCTCTCCTGCCATCCATCTCCTCCCTCTGACAAACAGAGGCTAGGGACACCATTTCTTACCCATCCTGGCTAGTAGCCATTAATGGACTTAACCTCCATGAATTTATCCAGTTCTCTTTTAAACTCTGTTATAGTCCTAGCCTTCCCAACCTCCTCAGGCAAGGAGTTCCACAGGTTGACTGTGCGCTGTGTGAAGAAGAACTTCCTTTTATTTGTTTTAAACCTGCTACCCATTAATTTCATTTGGTGGCCCCTGGTTATTTTATTATGGGAGCAAGTAAATAACTTTTCCTTATTCACTTTCTCCACACCCTTCATGATTTTATAGACCTCTATCATATCTCCCCTTAGCCTCCTCTTTTCCAAGCTGAAAAGTCCTAGCTTCTTTAATCTCTCCTCATATGGGACCCGTTCCAAACCCCTAATCATTTTAGTTGCCCTTTTCTGAACCTTTTCCAATGCCAGTATATCTTTTTTGAGATAAGGGGACCACATCTGTTCGCAGTATTTAAGATGTGGGCGTACCATGGATTTATATAAGAGCAATAAGATATTCTCCATCTTATTCTCTATCCCTTTTTTAATGATTCCTAACATCCTGTTTGCTTTTTTGACTGCCACCGCACCCTGCATGGACGTCTTCAGAGAACTATCCACGATGACTCCAAGATCTTTCTCCTGATTAGTTGTAGCTAAATTAGCCCCCATCATATTGTATGTATAGTTGGGTTATTTTTTCCAATGTGCATTACTTTACATTTATCCACATTACATTTCATTTGCCATTTTGTTGCCCAATCACTTAGTTTTATGAGATCTTTTTGAAGTTCTGCTTTGGTCTTAACTATCTTGAGCAGTTTAGTATCATCTGCAAACTTTGCCACCTCCCTGTTTACCCCTTTCTCTAGATCATTTATGAGTACATTGAATAGGATTAGTCCTAGGACTGACCCTTGGGAAAAGCCGGGGATATGCACAGTGGCTAATGTTCCTCAATCAAACATTCAGTGTTTCAAGACAAACACTTAATTACAGACACTGCTCGGGATGCCAGTGACTCAGGCCCTTGAATTGTGCAGCCCAGCTTCAAGCATGAGGATATCCAGGAAACCTGCTGGCCAAGTAATTAATGTAATTCACCGGCCACCAGAGAAGAGCACGGGCTCCTCTAGTCCAGCAGCTTTCATCATCACGACAGACCAATGGCTCATCTAGTCTGGCAGCCTCCCTGCAACAGTGGCCACCCCAGGGCTCTAATTATATAGTATCAGCTCATGGAAGGAGTGGGAGATGCTTCTGATTTGGCATGGGGATCGGTTTATCCCCTGAAGCAGGAGGAGTGATAGCACTTGCAATCTGACAGGTTTCAGAGTAACAGCCGTGTTAGTCTGTATTCGCAAAAAGAAAAGGAGGACTTGTGGCAGCTTAGAGACTAACCAATTTATTTGAGCATAAGCTTTCATGAGCTACAGCTCACTTCATCGGATGCATACTGTGGAAAGTGTAGAAGATCTTTTTATATACACACAAAGCATGAAAAAATACTTACAAAGCATGAGTTTAGTATTACCCTCTTCTGAAAGAAGGGGAGAAGGGAGTAGCTGTGAGCCCACCTATAACCAGTTCCCCTGCCCCATTCCTTCAGTGCCCCCTGGTGGGCACAGAATTCTCATCACACTTGACAGGCTCATGCTCAAATAAATTGTAAGGAGAGTGGTCAGTTTGGATGAGCTATTGCCAGCAGGAGAGTGAGTTTGTGTGTGTGTTTTTTGGGGAGGGTGGGGGGTGAGAAAACCTGGATTTGTGCTGGAAATGGCCCACCTTGATTTTCATACACATTGTAAAGAGGGTGGTCACTTTGGATGGGCTATTACCAGCAGGAGAGTGAGTTTGTGGGGGGGAGAGAGGGTGAGAAAACCTGGATTTGTGCTGGAAATGGCCCAACTTGATTATCATACACATTGTAAGGAGAGTGATCACTTTAGATAAGCTATTACCAGCAGGAGAGTGGGGTGGGAGGAGGTATTGTTTCATGGTCTCTGTGTATATAATGTCTTCTGCAGTTTCCACGGTATGCATCCGATGAAGTGAGCTGTAGCTCACGAAAGCTCATGCTCAAATAAATTGGTTAGTCTCTAAGGTGCCACAAGTACTCCTTTTCTACTTGACAGACTGTTGGCAGATGTAAGTCAGCTAGGGGTGCCGAAGGCTGGCACCCAGCAGCAGTGCCTCCTCCAGTCCCACCCTTCAGCTGACCCTGGAGGATGAGTTACAGACTCAGACTGCAGCTTGTTAAATATTAACAAAGGAAACTAGGAGACCAGCTCTGCTTCAGCAGGGGCCCTCCCATCCCCTCACACCACCAAGCCGTGTGGAAGAGCTGTGGGGCCTCCGAGACCCACTCCAAGCCTAGCAATTCCCAGCACTTTGGGGAGCACTGGGGCACGTCTCGCCAAGGGGAAAAAGTCCCAGTAAGAAAAGAACAATGCATCTAAAAATCCATATAGGAACAGACCCACATACCGAGCCAGCCCCACTGCAGGGCCTGCCAGGCTCCTAAAACCCCTCCATGGCTCTCGTCCACCATTGCTCCAGCCCCAATAAAGGCCAGTAGAGTCACAGGAGACTCCCCACAATTGATCTAAAATGCTGATGTCTCCTTGTAAACAGCTACTGCAAATTACCAATCCCTTTGCTACCCCACCAGCTTATGAGGGGCGGAGGGGCACAAGCACCTGGCCTAAGGCGTTGCCATTAAAACAGTCTCTAGTCCTGGGGTTTCACAAGGCACTGCTTGACCCAGCCAGAAAAACAAGGCAGCACAGGATTGCATGCCAGAGGCAGGGCACAGGCTGTTCCGGTGTCCTGGCAAGAGACAGGACCAGACCCACTGCAGGGTCACACAGCAGAGGCAGATGCGCAAGGGGGTCTCGAGGTGGCGGGGGACACCAGCCTGATTCCAAAGGCAATCTGCTCTGTTCTCTAGTAGAACGATGACAGTCCCCATAGCCTTCACCTCTCCCCCTACCCCACCCCTCCACTCCACTCCCCCATTCAGAGACGCAAGCAGGCCTCTTCCTTCCTCTCATGCTATCCTAGCCTGAGAATTGCTGGGCCCTGATTCTGAGCCACCTTTCCACCTCCCCAATTCCAGGCTCAGCTCGGGGCCTGCTCTAACTGAGTGAAATCCAATGACCTGCATTATGCACTATGGCCCCTTCCGGCTTTAACATCTATTAACCCAACTTGTGACCGTCTAGAATAGCTGGAGTGCAGAGTGGGGAAGTCGTACCCCTGCAACAAGAGCTGGGCCCATTGTGCCAGCCCTATCCACAGAACCCCACTGGGCCAAGGGAACACCTGACTGGGGGGCCCCCCGCTGCAGCATAAAGGGTCCAGAATGCAGGCCAGAAGCAGAGCCCAGCTCTGCTGCCAACTTGCCGCCTGACTTCAGGCAAGTCATTTAACCACCCCCTCGGTGCCTCAGTTTCCCCATCTGTGACATGGTGAGAGAGACTGACCCAGGTCCATTAACATCCACAAAGCAATGGGACCAGAGAGGAGCAGACTCACAAACCCACCTTCAGGGACAGAGCTTCCGCCTATAGGACCTAAACCAGCGGGTTTGTCATTCATGGACGCAGCAGGACGTGGGTGCCCCCCAGCAGGGCCCATGGGAGCAGGCCCATGGGGGAGTGGAGGTGTCCGGAGTCACCCTCCCGGTTATGGCTCTGACACTCCGTGGCCGGCCCAGGCTGGCAGGGCATCGCCCCCTGCCCGCAGCGCTCACCGTACTCGATCCCTCCCGAGAGGAAGAGGAGGCCAATGGTGAAGTTGGTCAGTTTCTTCTTCCTCTGATACTCCATCGACCCGGCTGCTGCTTTCCTCCCCGCGGGGCGCAGGTGACGGTTCCCTGCAGGACTCAGCGCCCGGCTGCGGCGTCTCCGCTGCCAGGGGCCATCGCGCAGCCCGGGTGCCTGGCCGGGCAGCCCGGGCCTCTCGCCAGCCCTCCCTAGGTGCACGTCGCTGGGGGCCCCAGCCCCCCACCAGGATCCAGCGAGCCCGGGGCGGAGCCGAGCGAGCCCGCAGCCGACAGCGACCAGGGCAAAGCGCCGGCTCCGGCTCCTCCTCTCCCAGCGCTCCCAGGTGTGGGTGGGCAGGGCCCCGCTCCCGGCCGCAGGCGCCTCTGAAGGAGAAGCAGCTCAGTGGGGCCCCCTCCGCGCAGGGCGGGGACGGGGGGTCTCAGGGACAGCGGGGCGGTTTCAAGATTTAATTGCAATTGGTTGATGCCAAGCCCGGGCACTGTCTGCTCCGCTGCAAGCCGGGCCCCCGCCCCCGCCCCGGCAGGGGCTCAAACAAGGGGGTGGGGGAGGCTTTCTGGCCGGACACAGCCGCGGGCCTTGGCGGGCCCTCCGGGACCTGGAGCCGGCGGGCAGGGGGCGAGAGCTCAGCGAACCCCCCCCCCCCCCACCTGGGCGGGAACCGCGGGGCGTTTTCAAACAGTAGCCGCGTGCAGCCGGGAGTTTAAAGGGTGCCCCCCCCCCCGCCAGTCTAGACACACCCCTGGGCCTGAGAGATCAGGAGACCCCCCCCCCCCGCCGGTGTTATCACAATAGTCCCGCTGCCCCCGCCCCCGGGATCGGGTGAGGCTCCCACCCCTGCGGCCAGGCGGTCCCCCCCTTCCCCCGGGGGTTGTACGGGGGGGGGGTCGCGCGCCTCAGGGGAAGGCGGGGGGGGGGGGCTGGTCTCTCTGGGGCGCGGCACCTAACGCCCGTCCCTACTGGCGCTGCCCGCAGGTGGAGCAGACAGGGACAGAACCCAGGCGCCCAGGACTCCCCAGTCAGGGGGCGGAAGCGGAAACGGACGAGCCCCGTTTCCGCCCGTCAGGCGAGCCGCGAGGAAGCCTGTACGCATGCGCAGCCCCTGCCCCGGGGGGGGGGGGGGAGCAAGAGCTTCCGCCCCGCACTGACATGGCGGCTCCGCGTGGGCTCGAGCGGGCGCAGGGCGGCCGGAAGTGAGGTTCGGAGCCCCTGCCGCGCGCTCGCCGCCCCGCGCTCGCCATGGCCGGGATCCTCTTCGAGGACATCTTCGACGTGAAGGACATCGACCCCGAGGGCAAGAAATTCGACCGGGGTGAGTCAGGCCGGGGTCTCCCTCCCCCGGGGCTCCTCCCGCCAGGGCGCGAGAGGGAACAGCCCCATAACCCCCTCCACCCCCCGGATCTGGGGCTGGATCGGGACCCAGGCCCCGGGGGGGAACAGCCCCATAACCCCCTCCACCCCCCGGATCTGGGGCTGGATCGGGACCCAGGCCCCGGGGGGGAACAGCCCCATAACCCCCTCCACCCCCCGGATCTGGGGCTGGATCGGGACCCAGGCCCCGGGGGGGAACAGCCCCATAACCCCCTCCACCCCCCGGATCTGGGGCTGGATCGGGACCCAGGCCCCGGGGGGGAACAGCCCCATAACCCCCTCCACCCCCCGGATCTGGGGCTGGATCGGGACCCAGGCCCCGGGGGGAACAGCCCCGTACCCGCCCCCCCGGGGCGGCGCCCAGCCCCGGGGGGACAACCCCCTACCCACCCCCCCCGGATCTGGGGCTGGATCGGGACCCAGGCCCCGGGGGGGGAACAGCCCCATAACCCCCTCCACCCCCCGGATCTGGGGCTGGATCGGGACCCAGGCTCTAAGGGGAGCAGGCCCCTTAACCCTCCCCCCCCCTTCGTTTTGAGGGCTGGATTGGGACTGAGGCCCCAGGGGGACAGGTTCCATAACACCCCCCAACCCCAGATCTGAGGCTAAATTGGAATTGAGGCCGTAGAGGGGACAGGTCCAATAACACCTCCTTCCCCCTGGGATCTGGGGCTGGATCTGGACCGAGGGCCTAGAGACGAAAGGCCCCGTATTTCATGTGTTGCTGTTTCCGCTCCTTCTCTTCCAGTTTCCCGCCTGCACTGTGAAAGTGAGTCTTTCAAAATGGACCTAATCCTGGATGTGAATATACAGATCTACCCCGTGGACCTGGGTAAGTATGTAGGATGCCCACAGGCTGGCAACTGATCATGCCTGTAACAGGCAGCACCTGTTGAGCAAGAGCCAGCTGCTGGCAGAGGTGCCCATAACACTGAGGGCTTGTCTACCCAGGATACGAATGCAAATTAAGGAAAGGTGTGCATCTGAAGTGTATGATTTAAAGTGCAGTAAGCCCTCACGTGCATGCTGCCATTCTGAAGGAAAGAGGCCTTGGATGCGTTCAGTGCATTTAATTACTTAGGTCCAGTGGCCACAAACAGCTGTGATGTGAGGAGAGATGCTCTTCACCTGCCTGACAGCTCCATGAACCCTGGGGTCCGTGCTACTCCGAGCGCATCACCTGGCATCTGGATGCACTGCTGAGTGTCCCTGATCACCTTCTCTGGAGCTGGGAGCCCTGAATATTGTGTTCCCTGTTGACTGGGCAGATCGGGCTAGGAGCCAGTTCGCACGTAGCTCGCTCGTCTTTGCCATCGAGCACCTTTGAATTAACATACAGCTAGTACTCCTGGTGTGCTCTGGTTTCTGTGTTGCTCCCTTTTCCCCTGCCCTTGTGTGCATGAGAATGTGCGGCCTGTGACAGATGTGGCTGTGAGCAGCTGGCCTCCTTGGAGGCTTGCCTTTTACCTCCTGCTCTCTATTGTGTGGTTCAGGTGACAAATTCCGCCTGGTTATCGCCAGCACTTTGTATGAAGATGGGACCCTGGATGATGGGGAGTATAATCCCACTGACGACAGGCCGTCCAGGTAATGGGGCAGTCCTCAGTATGAATTCCCCTTGGGTCGGGTATGGTCAACTCTTGTAGGGATCCGAGCTGGCTGAGGGCAGTGAACCAAGGGGTACTGACAGTGGGGAAAGCGTGGAGTTGGGGAGCTACCATGGGTCAGCGTCGCTGCCTGATGACTTTGGCCTTTAAACACCTGGGAGAAGGGGCTAACGAGTTCCCAGCCTTTGTCTGGTGGAGTCCCCTTGTGGTCTGTTGGCAGCGGGGTACTGCTCTGTCTCCTGGCACATTTGATTGGTGCCTGCTCTTTTGTCCTGCCCCCATTCACTTTTCCTCTCTCTCGGTTTTCCTTCTCATCTTTAACTTTTATACAATCTCTGTTTCTTTTTTGGTTTCTAAATTCTCTTGTGTCTGTGACTATTTATACATCATCACTGTCATATCTGAGCAGCCCCTACCTGTTCTTGGCGGCCCTGGGTCTGTAGCTCCCGCTTCCTACTCACCAGGGGGTTACTTGCTGCTTCGGCTGGCGGTGTCCATTGGTGACTCAGTAGGGCTGGATTGCACATCTCTTGAGCGTCCCTGTGTGCTGTGGGGGCAGAGGCCAGACTGTGCTTATGTGGCTGGCTACATTCGGGGCCATTGCAGGAGTGCAGAGGGCCCCAGGTGGTTTTCCAGGAACCATCTGGTGCTTTACCCTGGTGGATGTTTGCTTTGGGCAGGAGGGTCAGGTCTGTGGGTGTGCGCCTCTCTCGACCCCTGGTGTCTTGTTGCACGCAGGGCCGACCAGTTTGAATATGTGATGTACGGGAAGGTGTACAGGATTGAGGGCGATGAAACATCCACAGAGGCAGCCACACGCCTGTAAGTGCCCTGCTTGCCCCTACCCCCATGCCACTCCCCTGTTGTCCACGAGAGGTGGTACGGTTCTGTGCCCCTCCAAAGGGCACCCATCCACTGAGGCAGCCACACTCCTGTAAGTGCCCTGCTTGCCCCTACCCCCCATGCCACTCCCCTGTTGTCCACAAGAGGTGGTGCGGTTCTGTGCCCCTCCAAAGCGCGGTGCCTGGAGCTTGGGGTAGTCAAGGTAGAGGGCAACATGGTCCTGCCCAGAGTCCCTAGTGGATCCCTAAGGGGAACACCGGGGCACTGAGCGCTGTCCACTGCACTCCTCTCATGTAGCAGGCTCCTAATTCCCAGAGGTGATGGCTGGAGGCCATAGCCAGGGGCTCCCTTTAGCCACGAGTAGGGCCGCTGACACTGGGGAGGTGAGCAACTGTGGCTGCCTCTTGGCTACTCAGGCTTCTGGAACCTGGGTGTGATGCCCCCGCCCTGATCCATGGGATCCTGTTCTCACCTCTGCCCCTCTCCTGCCCTAGTTCTGCCTACGTGTCCTACGGTGGTCTGCTCATGAGACTCCAGGGAGACGCCAACAACCTGCACGGCTTTGAAGTGGATTCCAGGGTTTACCTCCTGATGAAGAAACTGGCCTTCTAACCGCAGGGGGCCGAGCAGCTGGGGACTGCGGCTGCAGCTGGGACCCTGCCTCACACGCAGGCTTTGCAAATCGACAGGGCCTTGCTGGCCGAGACTGGGACAATTGTGTTCAACGGCCGCTGGATTTCAGCTCTTTTGGCCCATCAGGACCCTCTGGAGTGACGCAAAAAGGGAGCCACTAGGCTGTTGTACTCCCTGCTGGTCCAGATCCCTGCGCCACCCGCAGTTCTGCCAATGATGCCCCTCTGCTGGGGCCTGCAGCCCACTCCTGTTCCAGGCCAGCGGTCTGCCCCTCGTGAGCAGGGGGATAGGCAGGTCCCTGGCTGGAGGCGATGGTGAATGGCTGCCGTGTGTGCCGCAGGCTCCTTTCCAGACCCCTCCTTTCCCATACTGGCTGTGGGGCTGCTTCCCTGTCGGCTCCACTCTGCTGGCTGCATGGCAAAAGTCTGCACCGTTTCCAGCAGTCCTTGTGTTTCGTGGCCTCTGTGTTGGCTGGGAGCAGGACAGGGAATCGTTATGAGCCAGCCCCACCTGGTTCTTTACTAAAGTGGGTTCTTCGGATGTGTCTCTGCTTAGGTCACTCTAGCACGTGTGAGATGTGGGGGCGGGGAGATGAGAGGTGCCAAGGAGATGCGACATTGTGAGACTGGCCAGGACTAGGACCACAGGGATCGAATCAAACGCTTCAGCCACAGCAGATTGCTACGCTCTGGTGCGAGAGCTCCAGTCCCGACGTCCTGCTTAAACCATCGGCAGTGACACAGCTAAAACCACTGGTGTTTAAGATGGGGAGTTCACCTCTTTCTGCACTCTGGCTTCTAGGTGCGCAGACCTGACTGTGTCGGTCCCTTGTTTCAGGCACGGCTGCACTAGTTACACTGGAAAGTTTCCTTTGCGACTCTAAGGGCTAGATGCTTCATTTTGTCTCCGAGTTGACTCTGCTATTGTCCCCCTTTCCCCATGCCAGTCATTTCTGGCTATATCCAGACTGTGACCCTGGGTTACGACTGTAAAAAGTTTTGGGATCCGCTACTTGTCCAGCCTCAATAAAAAGGGGAGAGGGCTCCCCCTGCCGGAGAGCTTGTGAGCCAAGTCTTCCAACACATGGGGTGGCCCTTAGTGTCCGGACACAGGTAGAGTTTTTCCAAAGTAGCTATGGCAGTAAAAGTCCACTCCACCTGCGAAAAGGGGCTTTTGCCAATAGAGGTTTTTGTTTGGGGGGCTGGGACAAGCTCTGCCGGCCCAGGGGCTCGTGCCCTTTCTGGTGGAGGGAAGGCCTGAAAGCCAGATGCAGAGCCAGCCAGTGAAACCAGACACAGCTCTATTGAGCATGCTCAATCTCGCTGATTTCATTCGTGGGCTGGATCCTGGCCCTTAGATTCCTCTCTGCTGCCTGGAGTTTCCTTAGTGAAAAATCCACTCTGATCAGAGGTGCGAATGGCCCCGAAACTCCCAGGAGAGCCGAGAACGGGAGTGGGGTGGCAGGCAGTGGGGATTGGGTTTTAGAGGGGGCGTGGAGGAAGAATGCAGCAGGCTGAAGGAAGTGTCTGCGTGACGTACTGCGTGTAGCGTAGACATGGTCTCTATAATGCTGTCTCCTTCCATGTAATTCAGCCTAGAAATTGCTGCAGGGTAGGGGTGAGAGGGGAGATGCCTGCGAGATGCTTTAGCCTGGGAAGAGGCTAGGCTAGGGGAAAGTGTGAGAGCCGGAGCTTGCTCTGTTTCTAGAAAAGGCACCTGTCTGCCTGCCGTTCCTGCAGTGGCCGCAGGAGGGCGCTGGATACCTCATTCTTAGGGGAGGGTGGGGCTGGTTCTCAGCCCCCACACACATCCTCCAGAGCAGGATAGGGAGCTGGGTGGAGGAGAGAGTCTGGCGCCCCCCTGTGCATGGGCCCCCAGCGAGCAGGCCTGGGTCCCAGCGCTAGCCCCAGATCCCACAGTTGCCGGTGAGCTTTGCACCCCCGCTAAGCGAGATCACAGGGCTCTTTAGAAAAATAAGCTCTTTAATCGTAAGACGTTTTCCCAGTAAAAGACACCCGCCCCCTTCCTGATCCTTAACTCTAGCGAGCAGCCCGAATCCGTCTCCTTTCCGCTTCCACCGTCGTGATAAGCAGCAAGTGCAGCAACACCCTCCCTGCGGGGAGGCTGGGCTGCGGTGACGCATGGAGAGCTGGGGGCACGAGCCTTGGGGCTGCAGGGTCGTGCACCCGCAAGTGCCTTAGCCCACAGCAGCGTTCTGCCGGCTGATCCCCTGGCACAGCGAGTCCCCCGCCCCGCCGTGCTGGGCTGGATTACACAGTGGTTGGCTGGAGACAGGGCTGGTGGATGGGGAGTGAGTTCTCTCACATGTGCCCTGGGGCGGGGACGAGTCCGCACGTGTTGCATGTGTGTTGGTTGGATTCAGAGGCCCCATGCCAATGAGTCCTGCCTCACTGTGCGCCCACAGGAGCTCCTCCCTGGAGGGCAGCATCCTCTCCCTTTCCTGGGATGTGCAGAGCTGACACTGCATCCTCTGGCCCCAACCAGTCTCATGGGGGCCAGGCCCCTTTTTGCTCAGCTCTAAAGTCTTCGCTGTGAGTCGATATTAACCAACGCAGAAATGGGGGGGGCCTCTCTAGGACTGAAGGAGCCCCCTTTCTGTCCTTGGGTGTGACCTCCTCTGCTCCAGCAGGGTCCTCTCCGCCCTGCTCTTCCCCCAATCGCTGGAGAGTGGGAGGGGGCAGGATATGCTTCCTTCCCACCTTGTCTCCACCTGTGGTCTGGTGGGTGCCTCCATCATGAGGCAGGGCTTTCACTGTCCCCTTGAGGCAGCTGGGGACATGGGGTGCTTGGGGGCTCTGGCACCCTTTGGCTTCCTTCCCGGCAGAAATCCTTTGCCAGGTCATGGAACAGGAAGCGCAGCTTGCCTTGCACGAGCTGCCGGTAGACCAGGAAGATTACGCTGGGGTGGCTCTGCAGGGTTGTCCGGGAGGTGCGGTCTGGCTGCCAGGCACTGACCTGTCCCAAGACAGAGAATGGGCACTCAAACACACAGCTTCCCCCGCCCTGAGCAATCCCCTTCAGCGTCACCGTCTGGGGCCAAATCTGCAGCTGGGACTCCGGGCTTAGAGAGGAGCAAGGTGAGCTCTTCACCTTGCTGTAATGGGGGTGGGCTGGGCAGGGCTGATGGGGGCAGAGGGGCAAGACTGGGGCTGGGCAGAAGGGGTCTCACCTGCCAGCTGAAGGTCTGCAGGAGCAGGAGGAAGGAGTTGGCTTTCTTGTAGAGCTGCCCCAGGAGGGCAGCCGCACACTCCTGCCTCACATGGCCCTGCACAGCGGTCACCGCGTCCACCAGCAGCGCCAGGTCACCGAGGATTTCCTGCCTTTTTGTCTCATTCTGACAGGGACAGAGAAGGGGGAGGGGGGGCGTGAGTGCCTGGCCCCAGTGCTGCAGGGGTTGGGGCCCCCTAGCCGCAGGCAGGGACTCAGGGGTGAGAGCCCCAGTCCTTCCCACATCTCCTAACCCAGCAGCCTGATGGGAACGTGGACGCTGGCATCACCCCACCAGCAGGGGGCGAGGGAGCCTGCAAGGGGGATCCCTAGAGAGCAAGACTGCCCCCTGTTGAGCCCATGGGCAGCAGCCAGCAGTGGGACAAATATCTCCCTCCCCTCAGGGACTCCTCCCTGTGTCTGCTGCCCCCTCTGTGATGGGCTGAGTGATCATCTTCCCCCTCGTGGCCAGGGAAGAGCTGGAACTCCTGGGCCCACCCCACCCCACGCCTGTCCCCCAGGGCCTCTGGCCTTACTCACTGTCTTTGTTTTCCATTCCCGGAGGCTGAAGTCCACCATGGGCAGAGGAAGGGGCTGGGAGAGTGAGGGGAGCTCCTGGCACTGGCTCTATGGGGAGAGGAGGTGGAAAGCACCGAGTGAGACGCCAAGAGGCCTAGGAGAGCCCAGCCCGTGAGGCCAGCTCTAGGGGCAAGAGACGGAATGAGCACAGGCTCAGGAGGAGTGGAGGCGTCGCTGGGGCTGTGCCGCACAGCTGGCCAGGCAGGATATTTCTCTGCCTTCCTGCCTCTGAAGTTTGTGTGATCCCAGCCTCTCCCACCAGGGGGCGCTGTAGGGGGCCGGGCAGGAGGAACGCTGGCTGTGGGGGGAGCTCCCAGCTGTGCCAGTCCCAGCCTCTCCCAGCAGGGGGCGCTGTAGGGGGCCAGGCAGGAGCACTGGCTGTGGGGGAGCTCCCAGCCTCTCCCAGCAGGGGGTGCTGTAGGGGCTCAGGCGGAAGCGCTGGCTGTGGGGGAGCTCCCAGCCTCTCCCAGCAGGGGGTGCTGTAGGGGGACAGGGCAGGAGGGCTGGCTGTGGGGGAGCTCCCAGCCTCTCCCAGCAGGGGGTGCTGTAGGGAGAAGGGCAGGAGGGCTGGCTGAGGGGGAGCTCCCCCAGCAGGGGGCGCTGTAGGGAGAAGGGCAGGAGGGCTGGCTGAGGGGGAGCTCCCAGCAGGGGGCTCTGTAGGGAGAAGGGCAGGAGGGCTGGCTGAGGGGGAGCTCCCAGCAGGGGGCTCTGTAGGGAGAAGGGCAGGAGGGCTGGCTGAGGGGGAGCTCCCAGCAGGGGGCGCTGTAGGGAGAAGGGCAGGAGGGCTGGCTGAGGGGGAGCTCCCAGCAGGGGGTGCTGTAGGGGCCCGAGCAGGAGCGCTGGCTGTGGGGAGCTCCTGGTTAGCCGGGCTGGAGCGTGTCTCCTTACCACTCTCTTCTCCATGTCCTTGGCTTCGCTGATGTACTTCTGGATCAGCCGGTTGTCGCAGACCAGCCGGGCCGGGCTCGTCCTGGACAGCTTGATGTGGAGGAGGAATGCTGTGAGGAACAGCAGCCCTGAGGGCAACCAAAGGGAAAGACAGCATGGGCCAGACTTCCCCGAGGGCAGAGCCCAGCCAGGAGACCTGCGCGCCCGCTCCATGGGGAAAAGCCCAAGAATCTCCCCTAGTTTGCCTCCCCACACCCCACCCAAGGAGAGCTGTGCCCCCATCTCACACCCACAGGTCAGTTCTTGGGCCGTTCTCCAGGGCTAGCACAGGCCTATTGTCCCGTCTCTAGGCCCCTGGGGCTTTTACCTGGCTACATGCTGGCCCTGTCTGTGTTGCCCTCTCCTGGTTTCAGCACCTGCGGTTATTTAGTTGGTGCGCAGCCAGGCGTGGCTCACCCGCCCCTCCCTGCAGCCTGTGGGTGCCCCATTGATGGAGACTCATGCTGGGCCACACGTGCTTCTCCAGCTGTTTCTCCTGCCTTCTCCTTCCGGGTAGTCACGCACCCCACCCACTACCTGCCAGGCAGGACAGTGATTTACTTGTCCGCCCTGAGGCCGGCGCTTTAAGTCAAACCAAGCTGAGCTCCAAAACCGAGCCAGTCACCCCTGGCCCAGTGCTGGTCACCTGCCTAGCTCTCTGCCCCACTGGGAGTGGGACCACCCCCTCCTCCATCCCCCTCCCCTCCTACCCAGCACTGGAGCACGGTCGAACGTGTGAGAAAAGTCTAAGGCAGCCCATGCACTTGTCCTTTAACACGTGTGAAACTGCTCACGTTCCAGCTCAGGCCTAAACTTTCACTCCTCTAGCCTAGCTCACGTTAAAGTCCACACTGTCTTGTCGACACAGCTTTGATCCCTGTCTAGCCAAGAGCAGGGCAAAGGAGGGGCTGGGCCTGACCGCCCCTGTGTGGGCCCCCGCGTCGCCATTCACCGCTGTGCACGAATTCTCCGCTTGCCAGCAGGGGGTGTCTGATACACCCACCTGCACAGGTGTAAATGACCCACGGTGCCAGGCATGGAGAATTGGGTACGGTGGGTGCTTTGTTTAAAAAAAGAGCTGTTTCTTTCCAAAGCAACTCGGGTCTGGGGAGGGATGAGGGGATCTGCCAGGCAAATGGGTGGCAGAAATGTGAGAAGGAGAAACGGATCAAGAGGGAAACAGTTTTAAGGTTAGGGAATCTTCCCAGAGATGCCCTCTGGCCCCAGTTAGGGAGCCGGCAGGCTGCTGGGATGGATTAACATGTGTGTTGCCCCACAGGTGGCTAGGGCATCTTCAGACAGAAAGCCCCTTTGTGGTGGTGACTGGTGTTATGAACTGGTCTAGAGTGGTGCTGACAGCCCTCTACCAAATCAGGCCTTGCTGTGCTTGGTGCTGTACAAACACACTGAGACAGTCCCTGCCCTGATTAGCTCACAGTCCAAACAGACAAAGCAGAACAGAGAGGAGAGGTGACTGGCCCAAGCCCCTGCAGCATGTCCATAGCAGGACCAGAACCCGGGTCTCCTAGCTCAGGGCCCTACCCACCAGGCCATATGGCTGTTACTAGCTAAGGGGCTTTGGAAGGCCGTGCCAGGCTGAACGTCAGCAGGTTTCCAAACAGAAGCCCTTCCCTGAACTGCTAACTCCTGGAGAGTAACCGTCCCAGGTAAGCAGCTCATTTCCCTCCCACTCGCAACCGCATCAGCTTGGGCCAGGCAATGTCCCCGTGCTAGCCCCGTGCCGTTTCACTTTCGGCTTCTCAGGGAGCAGCTGCAACCGCAGGTGCGGGAATGTGGCAGGGGAAGGCTGAGGCCATCTCCAACGCTTTCCAATGGACTGAGACGACAGCAGAACAAATGTGACTATTACAGCCAGAAAACAATGGTAAAAGGACATTACAGTTGCAAAGTCAAGCCCCGCAACCTTCCCTCGGCCCACTTGTGCGGATGCGCTGCGGCCGTCACAGCTGCTTGCCAACAGCAGAGGAATGGTGAGACACAAGACTTCTGGGATCAATTCCAGATTGCGGAGGGGAGTGTGATCTAGTGGTTACAACCCCTTCTTTAACAGTCCACCCAGCATATACCTGCTGCAGCCTGTCTCTGCCACCGTTTACCTAGATCCCCCCCCACACAGCCGATCTCTGTCCCCCAGCTCCTTGCCCACCCCCACTCTAACAAGTTCTCTGCCCCCTTCTGCAGCCAGTCTCCAGGCACCCCCAATCCTCTCTCCTGTGCGTCTGTCCAGTTTCCTCGCCAGTTCCCCCGCTGCCTGGGCCCCAGCAGGCGGCGCGCCGAGAGCACAGGAGAGTCTCAGACCGCTGATGTCCAGAGCAACAATTGCAGGGAAAGGCCAGCTGAGGGTGGGACATGCTCATTTGCCCTCTGCGGATGGGGTCTGGCTGCAGCCTGGGCACTGCGAGGGTTGGAGCATGCTCAGTGCAGATGAAAACTTTGGGGAATTTAGCTGCCAAACTAGAACAAATCTCTTTTGCAAACTGAGATTTTTTCAGCGGCTTATAACGTGGCCGAATTTGGGTTGGTTTTCACAGGGTTGGCAAAAGGCAAATCACTCCCACCAGGGCAACCCTTCTGCCAAATCTCAAAGCCTTACTCCAAAGCTGGGGAGTGCGAGAGCTTCCCAGCCAAACACTTGCATGTGTTTTCTTAACATGGGCAAAACGACATATTTTCCTCTCCTCTAACAGAATCGTTTTAGCTGAAACTTTCCCAAAAGATTCAGCCGGAGGCAGATCCCAGGCATGGAAAATTTCAACATGAATGGTTAAAGTGTGGCAAACAAGGTCTCCCAAAGGGAGGCCATGAGCTCTAGGCCACCCTCCCTCTAGAATTAGGGGTTCTACACCCTGAAACATTAGACCCACCTACTTGACAGTGCCCCTTGGCAGGAGAACCGCAAGTATCCACTGCAAAAGTGAAATGGGGCCATGTTTCCTGCTGGGCTCCATCCCCAGGAAGCGGGGCAGCGATAGGGGAGGATAAATGGTTTCCTTAGCTGGCCGTGTGCGTCGCACTCTCATCCCGCTGATAAGGCGCGTTTGCACCGCGAGCGATTCTGGACGCAGGTTCCTCTTCGGTGGCCTCAGCACAGACGCGGACGGGCTCTACGTCGTGGGCGGCGTCACACGCGGCTCAGAGCATTTCGGGGAATGCCAGTGTCCTCTGTACAGTGTGTCCCAGAAACCCCCACCCTGCCCCAGGCAGCCCCCGGGCCCTGCACTCTCCAGAGGCAGCGACCCTTCCTGCAGTGACTGCTGGGGGGCCGATTCCCCGCACTCAGAGCCCTGGGTCTCTAACAGAGACGCGCTAGTTCCAGGGGAGTCCTGAGCTTGGGACGGGGATTCTCTGGCCTGTGGGTGAGCTCGCTCCGCTCGGCCGGTGAGTCTGTGAGCTCAGGAGCCTGGCATCTCCCCTTGAGTCCCCTGGGAGAGGCTCCTTGCTACTCAGCTGCTTTGAGCACCCCAGGCCTTTGCTGTAGCGGCCCTGTCCTGCCCATCAGTCCCCATCAACCCCACCCAGCCCTGCCCTGCCCCTCCGTCCCCATCACCCACACCCAGCCCTGCCCCTCCGTCTCCATCACTCCCGCCCGGCCCAGCCCTGACCCTCCGTTTCCATCACTCCCGCCCGGCCCGGCCCTGTCCCTCCATCTCCATCACTCCCACCCGGCCCGGCCCTGCCCCTCCGTCCCCATCACCCCCACCCGGCCCTGCCCCTCCGTCTCCATCACTCCCGCCCGGCCCGGCCCTGCCCCTCCATCTCCATCACTCCCACCCAGCCCTGCCCCTCTGTCTCCATCACTCCCGCTCGGCCCGGCCCGGCCCTGCCCCTCCGTCTCCATCACTCCCACCCGGCCCTGCCTTGCCCCTCCGTCCCCATCACTCCCACCCGGCCCTGCCCCTCCATCTCCATCCTCCCACCCCCCTCCCCTCCGTCTCCATCACTCCCACCCCCCCCCCCTCCATCTCCATCACTCCCACCCGGCCCTGACCTGCCCCTCCGTCTCCATCACCCCCACCCAGCCCTGCCCCTCCATCTCCATCACTCCCGCCCGGCCCAGCCCTGCCCCTCCATCTCCATCATTCCCACCCGGCCCTGCCTTGCCCCTCCGTCCCCATCACCCCCACCCGGCCCTGCCCCTCCATCTCCATCACTCCCACCCGGCCCTGACCTGCCCCTCCGTCTCCATCACCCCCACCCAGCCCTGCCCCTCCATCTCCATCACTCCCGCCCGGCCCAGCCCTGCCCCTCCATCTCCATCATTCCCACCCGGCCCTGCCCTGCCCCTCCATCCCCATCACCCCCACCCGGCCCTGCCCCTCCGTCCCCATCACCCCCACCCGGCCCGGCCCCTCCATCTCCATCACTCCTGCCCGGCCCTGCCCTGCCCCTCCATCCCCGTCATCCCCTGGTCACTGCCCCTTCACTGCCACCAGACTCACTTGGCCCCTGCCTCTCCCTCCCCATCAGCCCAGCCCTGCCCTCCCATCCCTGGCAGCCTCCCCGCCCCCATCCCCAGTCCCCTACAGTGTGAAAGCCTCCGATGCACGGACAGGTTGATCTGGGCCGTGTGATGGGAACAAGGTTGTGAGCCAAGCAGGGGCTGGCCTGCTCCCTCTCCCTCGGCTGGCGCTCGGTGCTGAGGCTGTTTGGGGCAGGGTCCGGCAGGTTGGGGATTCCCTTTCCTGAAGGACTGAGAGTGGGCAAAGCAGTGAGAGACGCCCCATCAGCCCGGGGGGACGGGGTGCTCTGAGTGACCCGGGGCTGGAGGGCAGTCTGTGGCACCCGGGGGCACTTGGGCTGTCTCAGGCCGGCACAGTCACTGATGTTACAGGCCTGGGAAGTGCCCAGCCAATAGCTCTGAGCCCCACATTCCCAAGGGGGAGAGGCCTCATCCCCGCAGTCATGGGCACAGCCCTGGACACTGGGCTGCAGGGACCAGTCCTGCCCCGGACCAAGCAGGGCCCGCTCTGGAGCTCTGTCTATCCCTGTCCAGGTGTGAGACTCCACCCCCCTCCCCATGCCCAGACTTGGGGGGTGCCCTGTCCCTGTCCACCCCCAGCCCAGCACTCACTGTTCAACTCCATGCTAAGCTGGCCGTCTCTGCACTGCATCTTTCTCCCCGGGGCCAGCGGCTGGGCTCCTGCTCCCGTCCGGCTTCCATTTAGGGCAGCTTTAGCCCAGGCTCTTGGCAGGGCAGGAGGACTGGGCCGTGGGGCAGGGGACAGAAGAGCCCCCGAGTGACGCTGCCCAGCTCCCGCTGCCGAGTGACCACAGCAAGGCTTCCTGTTGTGTTGTTTGACCTCCGAGGGAAGGCACTGGGGCACAGAGCACAAGCCCTTGGGAAGGCTTCCTGCTTCCCCCGGCTTCCTCCTTGGCTTGCAGCACTGGAGCTGTGCACACGGGCTGGGATCTCGGAGGCAACCACCTCGCTGTGCTCACCCACTGGCGTGCGATACAGCTCGTGCCATGAACCAGCCCCACCAGCTCCCTCTCTGCACGAGCCGGGTGAGCCCCACTTCCCGCTGGGTCCGCGTCTCCTGCCCACCTGCTTTCACAGCACGGACTGTGGGAACTTGAGTGCCCCAAAGAGTGAACGGCATGCAAGCTGGGGGCCTGGCGCTGGCTCCCCACGGCTGGAGGCCTGCAAGGGTGTCTGCTTTGGGCTGCACAGCTGGCTGGTTCCCCCAGAAAGCCCCAACCATCCAGCCAGCAGGTCAGGGCTCACGGGCTGCTCTCGGCACCACCTGGAATGGAGACGGTGCAATTAGTGAGCAGAGAAGGGAAATTCCAGTTCCATGGTGGACCTGCTCCCAGCACCCCCTTCACTCCCCCTGGCACCGGAGTCCTGGCCTGTGGGCTCAGGGATGCAAACCCCACCCCCACCCCGCAAGGTCCCCTAAGTGACACACAGAGATGCTGGTGATAATCCTGCCCCAGACCCCCAGCATCCACCATCCAGAGGAACACACACACATCTGCCCTGGGAGCTGTAAGGGGCC